GTGAATTAAGGTAACGGTATGCATAAGGTATTGGCCCAATGCACGCTTGCTTTGCTTGCTTTGCTTACTTTAGTTTGCTTTGCTTTACTTTGAAGGCTTTTATGGCCTAATGGTAGCTTTGAACGCTGTCATAGTAGTCAGCTGATTTTCAATGCGCGCAAATATACCCGCCATTCTTTGTTGTGCCAGCAAGTATAATTGTGAATTTTAGTTAAAATATATGTTATTAAACAATTATTTGTTACTAAGAACATTATTTTTTACAGATACCTTGCTTTTTTATCGTTCCGGTTTTGGTGAAGCTGCATTTGGCTGCGCCACTCACCACCCGTGTTTATAAGACGTAATATTCAATTGGAGGTAAAAGAGTTTATATTAAACAATTATTTGTTGCTAACAACATTATTTTTTTTTCAGATACCTTGCTTTTTATCGTTCCGGCCACCAGATTCGTTGGTTTTCATAAAGTTTCATTTGGCAGTACAAAATGTTGACTCGAAATGCTGAACAAGTTTTGAGAATTTTCCTAATTTTAGCGAAAATGCGTAAATTAAAACTGCGATTAAAACAGAAGCGCCGATTTTGGGTTCGGAAATTGTACTTAGAGCGACACAAATATGGATTGTTTGAAAGTTCATTAAGAAACTTGGCTGCAGATGAGGAGCAGTTTAACAAGACATTAAGAATGCCCTTTTCGTTATTTAATGTGCTGCACGTATTTCTGGAGGCTTCGCTGACCAAATATTCAATCAGAACACCAATATCGAGCCGCTGCAGACTATTTGTAACCCTGATGTAAGAGAAAATCGGTTTTACTTAATAGTATACGTATAATTTTCCATATATGTATCTGGTTTTATTTTTTTGTTGCAGATATTTGGCTCACGGTGGCACTCGGCAATTCCACACAATAGTTCACAGGATCGGCCTGACGACTTTCAGGAAGATTACGTTGGAGACATGTATGACCATATGGGATCTGTTAGCTGACCTGTATGTGGCGACCCCGTCAGAAACGGAATGGGGACGTATTTCCAATGAGTTCAAGTCGCTGTGGAATATGCCCAACTGCGTTGGTTCCATCGACGGAAAGCACATTAATATTACCTGTCCAGCAAATTCAGGGTCGATGTACTATAATTACAAAGGCAATTATAGTATCGTGCTTTTGGCCGTATGTGATGCCAATTATACCTTTACCTGCGTTGACATCGGAGCATATGGAAGTCAAAGCGATGGCGGTGTCTACCACTTTTCAAAACTGGCAGATGCTATTGAAAATGATAGGCTCGGCCTTCCACATGATCAGCCTCTGCCAGGAGAAACCGAGCCATTTCCACATTATTTAGTAGGAGATGCAGCTTTTCCCTTACGGCGTTATTTAATGCGACCATATCCGGGTAGAGGTATTCCAGAAGAGCAAGAGTATTTCAATAAAAGACTCTCTCGTGCAAGAAGAGTTATAGAAAACGCATTTGGAATACTCACTGCCAAATGGAGAATATTGAGAACGACGCTATGCATGGCCCCGAAAAATGCAGAACAAATAGTGAAAGCTTGTATTGTCTTGCATAATTTTATTAAGCTTTCGTGTGCAAACTATGTAGCAAGCGATTTTGTTGATCGCTACGAAGAGGATGCCACCATCGCTGGCTCATGGCGAAACGAAGTAGTTCCATTGCCCTCAATAAGTAGGGTGTCATCGAACCGAGGCAGTTCAAATAATTATGATTTAAGGGATGCTCTGAAGACACATCTTTTTAACAATAAAATTTAAATAATTACCACTCACTGAATATGCTTTGTTTTTATTATTTAAGATAGAAAACAAAAATTTGAACTCACAGTATGAGGGCACTTATTGGTAATGTTTTAAATGTCGTCACATCTTTCAGGTTTTTAAATTAATTTTTGTTCAAGGTAAGTATGGCGTTAACATAACATATATTTCATTCAGTCTTTTAAGTTAAATTATTTAAATTTATTTAAATGTCTCGTAACCGCGTAAGCCTCGTAAACTTGCATCGAAAACCACGCGTTTGGAATAATATCCTGAATATTTTCTTAAAAAAATGTACAATTGTGTTTGATTAGAAACAATGAAATTATAGCAAGCATTTTCTGTGAGATTGCATATTAAATTCGATTACATATTTAATTCGCAAAATCAAAATCAGATTTCATACTAAATTAGATTACATATTAAGTTCGCAAAATTGAAATCAAACTGGATGTCATTTAAATTTTTAAATTTCGTAAATTCAATTTTTATAATTTTTATATTGAGCATAGACGTATTGAAGTACGTCCATTTGAAAATCTAGGCGGCTCTCTTCTGGGACCTTCTCAAACACTTCGCCAATCGCACCCAAGAAATTGTTGTGTGTGTGTTTTTTTTTTTGACTATCCACAAACTGACTTACTTCGTTGACTAGATCGTTAAAGGCGGCGTTCTCATCGTTTTTTTTCTTTTGTCTCTTAGCCGGCGTTGGGGCAGTGGTTTCTTGCTCTTCTATTTCTAACATCTTGCACTAAAGCTTCCGATAAACCAACCAACACACAAGAATCGGATAATACAGCAGCCGGAACGATAAAAAAGCAAGGTATCTGAAAAAAAATAATGTTGTTAGCAACAAATAATTGTTTTATATAAACTCTTTTACCTCCAGTTGAATATTACGCCTTATAAACACGGGTGGAAGTGGCACAGCCAAATGAAACTTTATGAAAACCAAAGAATCTGGTGGCCGGAACGATAAAAAGCAAGGTATCTGAAAAAAATA